GAAAGAAGACACCACCCCAACGCAGACCTAGCTAGCTATAGCCAGCCACCACACACAGACCAGCGCGCCACGACCACGAGGGCAACAAGAAGGGGTCTCTCGGCGTCGCCTCGTAGCGCGGGAGGCGGGCGGACGATCGAACCCTATTCCTTGTCCTTGAATCTCCAATCCAATCCCCCTACGCGCTCAATCCGGGAGATCTAGGGAGAGGAGAGGCAGCGGCAGGGGAGAATAGTACAAGAGAAGAATGTTCTCTTCCAAGAAGGCCACTAGCAGCAGCGCTGGCGCGGTGGCGGTGCAGGGGGGCGGGGCGCCCATGTGCGTGCAGGGCGACTCGGGCCTCGTCCTCACCACCGACCCCAAGCCGCGCCTCCGGTGGACGGTGGAGCTCCATGAGCGCTTCGTCGACGCCGTCGCCCAGCTCGGCGGCCCCGACAGTACGGCTCCAAAACCCTTCATGTGCTGCGAGCTGGTCATTTTTTTTAATTATTAATTCCGTCGCTGAGAATTTTGTGCTTGTTGTAGAGGCGACGCCGAAGACGATCATGAGGGTCATGGGGGTCAAGGGGCTCACTCTCTACCACCTCAAGAGCCACCTTCAGGTGCGTCCGGCCATGTGTGTGTTGTTGCACCCTCTAATTAGGGTTAGGTCTAATTCTTGTTGGCATGATGCGCTCTCTCACACATGCATGCTGGCTAATCTGTTTGGTCTTTTCATGTGCAGAAATTCAGGCTGGGAAAGCAGCCACACAAGGACTTCAACGATCATGCAGTTAAGGATGGTAAGAGCTAACTCATGCGATTCAATTGTGAAGATAAAATTGTGCATATGACTACTCTACTACTCCGGTATATATGTTATATCTTCGTGTTGTTGAAATTTTTTCGCAGCTGCGGCAGCAATGGAGATGCATAGAAACGCGGCCTCTTCTTCAGGCATAATGGGGAGAAACATGAACGAGTAAGTTAATCAGTTAGTAAGAAGTAGAGTATGTTAATTACTCTGCGTTCACTCATATCCCAATTATTAAGCTTTTCACTCACCACTTTTCCTTTACCGTTTGTGAATCTTAATTTCAGCCGCAACGTGCACATGAACGAGGCCATCAGAATGCAAATGGAGGTTCAAAGGAGGCTGCATGAGCAACTAGAGGTGATTAATCAACCAAGAATCAAAGTACGCATGGGTGGATGCTAAAAAGACTGTCAATTTCTCATGAAGTTTATTTTTCTCCTTTTAAGAACATTAGGAAGTTTACTCAACTCCCCTTTCCTCCTGAGCACCTTACCACCTTCCCATGCAGCTCATGCTCCTCAACTTTTAGATACATCTTACATGCATGCATGCAAAAACACTGTCATCAAGTTTAATTGCTTACTAGGTTGTCACTAATTGTGTAGCTTAATGATGCTTAAATTAGTTAGCTCATGCATGCATGAACATGAGTACATGACAATTGACACGCAGGTGCAGAAGCACCTCCAAATGAGGATTGAAGCCCAGGGAAAGTACATGCAGTCCATCCTGGAGAAAGCATACCAGACGCTTGCCACCGGCGACGTCGCGGCGAGCCCTACTGCCGGGTACAAATCCCTAGGCAGCCACGCCGGCGTCCTGGACGTGTGCTCCATCAAGGACATTGGCCCGGCTTCCATGGGCTTCCCTTCCCTGCAGGACCTGCACCTCTACGGAGGCGGTCACTTAGACCTGCAGCAGCAGCAGCCAATGGAGAGCTTCTTCGCGTGCAGCGATGGCGGCGGCATTGGGTCGTTGGGGAAGAAGAGGTCCAACCAGTACGCCGGAGGCAAGAGCCCTATGATGTGGGGTGACGACGACGACGGCGACGAGGATGACAAGGGCGATCAGCTACTCCAGATGGCACCGCCGATGATGGACGACATAGACTCCATGTACGAAGCGAAGCCGATGATGACCATGTCCGGCGACTCCGCTGGTAACAGAGGATTCGACGGCGGCATGGGGTCGAAGCTCGAGAGGCCGTCCCCCCGGCGGCCGCACATGGGAGCCCAGAGGATGGGCAGCCCGTCGGTGATCTACGGGTAAATCAAGCGATCGACCGAATTAAGTTAACTAGAGCTTTTTGCTTAACCGGGTGCATGTGGCTAAATAAGTATAGCTTGAGTGCATGGAATCAAGGAAATTATAGAAGAAATTATGCGTCGATCAGGATGATCTTACACATATAGTGATGCATCACATGTCTATGTCATGATGATGCTCAAGGTCTAACTAAGATGATCTGTTGTGTAATTGTACGTGTTCTAAATTAATTAATTATGACGGTTGTAAATTTGTAATCTAATTATTTTGTGATCTTGCATGCTGATGTGGCAAGCTTCCATGCATTGATCATGGGACACATGTATATCGTCAAAAACATATTGTTAATTAATTCTTATTGGTTGGGTCTGGAACATGCGCATAGTTTTGAATTCTTGCATTGCTGTGTGACTTGTGGAGTTGTGGTGCAAATGTAACTTCGGACACTTGCCCTCGTATCAACTAACAAAACTATATTTTTCTTGGATAAAAAGGAAGAATGTCAGGATATATATACACTGAGAGAGAGAAAAAACTTTTGATCACCACTGAGGATGCCCACAGCCAAATTATTGCTAAACCGAGGAACACTGGGACAACATATATGATATGTGCTTGCATGCATAATAAGGCTATAAATTGTACTGATGACGTGCAACCTCATCGATCTAGAAATAGTACCTCTTTGGATGACTGAGGAATACACAATCTAATGCCTATGCTTATGTTTCAGAGTTCGCAACTCTAGCTAGTTAGTGTGGTAACTTAGTACCTTCAAGGCAAAGCTTGCATGCACATGCATGCATGAGATAGTGCCCCATCCATTGAGTTTGTAAGGATGGCATGGGTTTTTAGGTCTTCGGTTTGACTAACGAAATCATGTGGTATATGCCACTAAAAAATATACTCCCTCATTCCTAAATATAAGTTCTTTTAAAGATTCCAATGTCTATATACATCCATATATAATCCGTATTGAAATATCTAAAAGACTTATATTTAGAAACAGAAGGAGTATATAACACATGTTTTGTTAGTGAAGTTGAAAGCCTAAAAACTTCCCTCAAAAGAAAAGCCTAGAAACTTGTGTCCACCTTACAGATTCGGATAGAGGGGTAGTATGTATTACATAATGCCCTTGTCTTACAAAGCAATGCCATCCAAAAAGTGCTACGTCTTCAACAACAAATGAACTGGATTTGATTGAAACATCGTTCTCCCGAGTCGCCCGCCCTCCCATCTTCCCTCCTGAGTCACCCCCCGTATGGGCGGCCGGGAGGCCCCCAGATCCCGTCGGCCGGTCCTCCCCCACTCCTCCTCCTCCTCCCTCGCTGCCACCCAAGGGCGCGGCCAGGCGAAGCCTGGTCGTCGCCGGCGGCAGCGGGGACTCGGGCTCTCTCGCTCGCGTGGGGCTAGCGTGGGCCAGCGCCCCCGGGCCGAAGCATGGCGGGGGGGCGGACGCCACGGCGGGTGGTGGCGGCGCCTCGGCGACTTCGCTCCCCCGCGGCAGGAGGTTTCGCGATCTGGTGCGTCGCGGTCGCCAGGGATGGCGGCGGCGTGACCGGATCTAGTCGCGGCGGCGCGGCCGGATCTATGCCCAAACGTGGGCCTTGATCACTGGTCTGCCGTCGGCATGGTGGCGGGTGTGACTCGTCGGCAGCTGGGCAGATCCGCCGGGATTCTACCCTTGTCTGATACTTGACAGCGCGGGCATCTCCGGGGGAAACCCTAGATCTCCTTGGGATCGAGCGATGACGGCGATTTTGCGTCGTAGTCCCTCTTTAGGGCATCGTTTTGAAGTTTACTCCGGTTGAAGGGACCAGCGACGTCGGTGGCGCACGTCTGATGGAGCAACTGCCGATGAAAATCGCGCCGACTACGGTCATGGCGGACGATGACGGCGTCTTAGATGTCGTTCCCTTGTCGAGGCATCGTCGTTGCAGTCTGCATCATCAGGCTCGGGATGCTCGGGGAAAACCCTAGATCTGGGTCTTCCGGATCGGACGATGATGGTGTTTTATCGCTTTCCCTCCTGGGGGCATCGTTTTGGAGCAAGTGATGGCTAGGGGGATGGTGGAGCGGTACTTCATCTCACACATTGATGGCGGCGGAGATCGGCGGCATGGCGCTGTGGAGGCTCGGCGTCCGATGCGCGGAGATGGACTCGCTCAGGAGGAGGTAGTTGTCTGGAGTGATGTTGACGTCGATGGCAGAGTGGCCAGACAAGGTAGAAGCCTCAATATGATCTGAAGACGGGCCTGTGGAAGATGGCGGCAACGACACACGAGTGTGTCTGACTGAATTGTGCCCTAGACCCGGTATTTGGCTCGGTTGGGGTTTCCGGCTTTTGATGTTAGGCTTAGGTGAGTGGTTTGGGTAGTGGCCCAGTTAGCATCCCTTCATCATATGGATAGGAGTAGCGGCATATGTCGCCAAGATGGTGGATTCAGGTATATTGTTTGTAATACTTTGTAAGGTCCTTGAAAATAATCAATAAAGTGGTCGTATGCATCTCCTAGATGCAGAGACCGGGGGTCATCCTTCTTTTCTAAAAAAACAAATGAAGTGAACATGTATTTGAAAAGCATGCATGTTTCGGAAAATACAATTCAACATCCATGCTCACGGAAAAAATATGCAAATGTGTGCTGCTAATTAGTGACTATAGTAAGATACCCGTGCATTGTACGGAACACCAAGATTGGGGGTGGATGGCGCCGGCAGCGGCCATCGCACCAGATTGTTCCATGGCCTTCTGGATGTGGTGGGGAAGAGATAAGGTTGATTGTGAAAGACAAGGAGTCGTTTGTAAATATGAAAACAAGTGTGTACGTCTTTTTGCAAAACTACAGCAGTTTGCTTTGTATGCATCAGATCTAGATCCAACAACTATTAGTGAAAGATGGTAGGCTCATCATCATCACCAACTCAGGTTTTTATAGGAGTAGAGATCATGAAAAGCCAGAGCAGCTGGGGGCGATCTGTAGAACCACTAAATGTGGACAATGTAGAATCATGGAAATATTATTTGGAGCAATGCTGGGTCATGTAGATCGCATTTTTTTTTTGCAAGGGAAAAATGTTTCATTCATCAACCAGCAGCCATGTCTGCATTACAAAGGTCCGGCACCATGTAGATCGCATTGTTACTATGTATATCTGTGGAAAATTAAATTTGGTGCAAACTAAGTACATGCACTCAGTACCTGAGATATGGGCCAAACAGAAATGATGGTTCTACAGTATTTAAAGAGGAAAGGATGAAAAGAGAAGGGAGAGAAAAAAGTGGTCAGGATACTCGTACTTCATGTACGCAAGGGATGTGTGTATTTTGGAATCTGATTCCATCAAATGATAACTGGAACTATCAGCAAAATATCAGTTATAGAAACTAGTAAATTATCTCTAAGTTACTAATTTGATTCTAGCGTGCAAGGTTTGAACCTCTTTTCAGAAGAAAAAAGAAGACGAAAGAAACGTGCATGCTTAATTCAGTCCTCGTGTATCTTGTATCCTGGTCATACGAGGTTCTAGACCACGGTTCACAGTTAATTTAGGGTTTGCTTGAATTGCATGAAATTGGTAAAAGATTTACAACTAGAAAATCTATGGGGATAGTCGCTTCGATCAAAAACATACATATAAGTGAATCAACCTAGCTATGTGAATAAGTATGAAAATGTGTCTGTTAAAATTCCTATGGAGTTGGTGCCCAATCCATCGGAATTTGATAGTACTCCCTCCGGTCCTTTTTACTCCGCACATTAGTTTTGTCTGAAGCCAAAGTTTGCTAAGTTTGACAAAATTTATATTAAAAAATATTAACATCTATAACATCTAATAAATATAATATAAAAATATATTCCAAGATGGATCTAATAATAAAAATGTGTTGTTATGTGAATGTTAATAATTTTTTGTATAAACTTGGTCAAAGTTAGATGAGATTGACTTCGGACAAACCTAATATACAGAGTAAAAAGGACCGGAGGGAGTATCTTCTATTTAATCCAGAAGTGATTTATATAGGGTAAAAACAAAAGAGTGTATATCAGTATGTTTGAACATATGTATGCTGAGATATTGTACGTACAGGCAGTTTTATGACAGATTTATGCATATATACTTGAAGTGTCTAATTAGTTTGAACATTTTGAAATATATTGACAATAAAGTTTCAAAAGTCAAATATGCCCGTGTGCAAAGCGACAACTTAAGTTTAGAAAATTGAATGGGATGTATAAAATCACGACAATCGGTACAAATCCGAGGTTTGGAAATTAAAATCCGTGGGCACCCCACAATAAAACAAGACAGAATACAGCATCATTAGTTTTTATGAAATACAGCAGTGTGATTTTTATTAAATTAAGTGGAGTGATGTAATTCGCATAGGGTCATCTATGTTCATGTGGAAATGCAAAAAAAAAAAACATGTTCATGTCCAAATGTTACATACTGTATGCAAATGTTCAGGGCAAAGCCAATCATTTTTTTTTTCGAAACGGAGGCAAAAGATTTGCCTCATCGATTAAATAAGAGAGAGTAGATAAGAGTGTTACAACAACCACCTTAAGCACGGCATGCGGACTACTCTCGATATACAATACGCCCTAGTTTCTTTGCTCCAGCTGTAACCCAAAGCTTGGCCTCCTCCAGGATTGTGTTAAGAAGAATAGGCGGCGGAGCACTTTTGTGTCGGAACACCCTAGCATTACGTTCATTCCAGATGGTCCAGGAGACAAGGAGGGTTAGGGAGGCCAGGGCACTCCTGTTGGGGACGTGGCTCCCAGTACCATCCTCCCACCAATCTAGGACGGAGCCATGAAGATGCCACCTGGAGGTCTCAATGTGATGAAGACCGAGCTTGGCCGCGAGAGACCTCCAAAGCCGAATAGTGAAGCGGCACTTGAAGAGAAGATGAGCACATGTTTCCTGCTCCCTAGAACAAAGAGGGCACAGACCGCAGTTGGCCCACCCGCGCCTCTCCAGGCGGTCCGCAG